TTATTTAAATAACGTTTGATGGGTGTGGGTGTGGATGTGGGGTGTGGGTGTGTGAGTGTGGGTGTGGGTGTGGGGTGTGGGTGTGGGTGTGGGGGGGGGGGGTGTCGGTGTGGGTGTGGGTGTGGATGTGGGTGTAGGGCTTCACTGAACCCACACCCACACCCACACTCACCCACACCCACACCCACACCCACACTCAGACCCAACCCACACCCCACCCCCACACCCCACACCCACACCCACACTCACACCCAACCCACACCCCACCCCCACACCCCACACCCACACCCGAAATATTGATAAGATCAAGATCTGAATTACAGGATATAATTGAGAGACAGAGAGAGAGAAAAAGTTCAAGTATGAAAGAAAGATCTGTTCATACTCAATACAAGCGAGACAAGACATAGTTAGAGTATTGACATTTAAATGCCACACTACTTCTTGCTACCTACTTCATTTTTCATTCAATTTAATTCTTTTAAATGGAATTGAAGTATACATAGCAACCACACTTATTTTGTTAACAAAAAAAGAACAACACTCGCTTCTCTCTTTTTATGTCGACTTCCAATAACAAGCTGTACACGCTAGATAAAAAAAAACATTTAGTTTTAAAAAAACTGCTTGTTTTTTTTCAGAGAGTTACTAGGACACAGAAAAAAAATGGGAATCTTGTGACGTTGTTACCTTTTTTCCTTCGGTATTTGGTTAGTTGATTTTTCTAGTAGAGACACGCTGTTGCTTCTATGTGTAAAACATTTAAAAGAACGGCATCCAGATTATTTTATTGCTGAATTCGATTAGATTTGAAAAATTCATTTTGGTATTTTTACTTTCCAATTAACATTATCTTCCTTTAAAAATATTGTTCTCATTTTCTCTTTTAGATTATTGCTAACAAAAACGTCTATTACAGTATGTATACGTTTGATGAAGAAAAACATGAAATAACCGAAATAATCGTTCAAGATATTTTTGCTTGAGGACGAAAAACGTCTTTTATTTGAATTACACATCAAAAGTTCTAAGAGTTTATTCATCCTTTTACTATGAGTCTTCTCTAGAAGAAAACACCTAGGCTCGTTATCGTCGCATGTTCTTGTAGTGTTTGATCTCTGAAGCCAGATATATTTACATTACTTTTCCCATATTCGTTAAAAAAATGAACCATTCGTGATCGCCTTAGTGATTGTGACTGCGCATCTTTTCTTCACTCAAACTCAACTGGCCATCTTGAATGTAATCTTAAATCATGTTTTATCTGTGATCAACAATTTATGTAAGAAACTAGTCAATCCGAGAAAGGTAATGCGCGTAGTGACAGAATTGACACTTCAAAAACAAGACTGTTTCTTCCTACATTCATATTCACTTCTTCGATGAAAGAACGAAACTTGCTTTTTCTTTTTCATTGCAACTCTGTATGGGAATGTTTGCATACCAACTAGAAAAAAAACTCAGTTTTACATGAAATGTTTGTCTTTCTTTTGTAGAATGTTCATGATTTTACTCGTAGGATATTTGACAAAATGATTCACATTTGTTTCTTTGTTGATTTTGATTAGAAAACCTCTCGTAATTGGTAGGATGTGAGTGCGGGTGTGACTGTAAATGACCGCAAAGACCAAGAACACACTCACACCCAAGATCAGTGATTATAAATTAATTGAAAATTTCAGGAAATTTTAAAATTGAGTTCTTATCAAAATAATTCTTAAGAATATACACGCCCTCATTTAAATAAAATAATTTAATTATATCCTATGTTTGATCAATTGGGAATAAACGATAGTTTCCAAAAGATAGTTAAACAGTTGCTTTTCCACTTTTTAATCATAGTCTTGACAAAAGATTACTTTAGCAAGCTCAAAAAAATGAAGGAAGAACTCTTGTTGTAGTTGAATTTCCGTCTTTCTAGCTCTTCGTAGGAATTCTGTTAATACTTTTTCTGATAATCGAGATTTAGCTATCGAAGGAGAGAAAAAATGTCGTTGATTTTGCTTTCACTTATTAAAGATTGAGAATGGACATGTTTGTAGTGAAGATGATGAAGTTAACCATCAATCTTATATATCAGATGTAAATGCATTTCAAAATAATATTATTTATGGAGAAATTGGAACATTTCAAAGAGATATTTTAGAAGAAGAATTTAATAGTAAGAAAATTTTCAGTAAACAATACAAAAATAGAAATAAAACTCATTAATTGTTGATAAAGTTAGTAATTAATATTTAGATAGAACGAGACATATTCTTTATCTTTCTCATGAAATTGAAAGTCTAAAATGGCTTGAATCACTATCTATTACGATTTGGATCGCAGTTCTTAGAACTGAAATTAATGATTCCGATGACATTTAAAAGATTATTGAAGACGTTTCTCGATTTATCAAAGATCATGCTAAAAAAAGGATATTTTTATTCGGAATTACATGATGGATTTTGTTAATTATAAAATTGATCGTTGGGTAGATAGTGCATTTCAAATACGAATTATCCGAGATGATCATTTTGTCTTAGATATACTTAAAAAAGAAATGGGTGTGCGTGTAGAAGTGAGTTTCACTTTTTATTTCATGATCAATCACACCCACACCGAATCATTTCTCTCATTCGATAAACCAGGATGTAAAATATTACTTAGTGTGGCTGCTATGTCACATTTTCAGCAACATTGATTGAATCTTGCCCAGTTTGAGACTGTTGGATTTGTATTGACGGTTGACTGATATTGACTAGCAACTGAATTACTGTGAGACATCACTTGTTGCTCTACACAAGGGACATTTATTGATACATGCTCGAATATTCAATGTCTAACATTGAAAATGAAATTTTTGATTGCATGATAATGTAAAGAAGGAAGTACTACCAGGTGTCAGACTAGTATTAGCAACTTGTGAAGAATTTTTGGACGAAGATATAGTATCCATAACTGATTCCTTAATGTGACTGTAGACAAAAAAACAAAGAAGAATAATAAACATATGAACACACGATATCTCCACCTGATATAGTGAAGAGTGATTGTGCAATTATTGCGCCACGTTTTTTGCAATTTGTAATCACAAATAAAAAATCAAAATATATAGCGTTTATTCATAACTAATAGAAATTTTCACTTACATTTAGGCGCATGTATGACAGTAAGGTCGACTTGCAAATTTGTCTATATATTTTTGTTTTATTTTTCTTATTGTCATCGTTAAATATCCTGAATACATTCTTTTATTTCGTCACGTATGATTCAATAAAATTTGTAATGAAGGGTGTGGATGTTGATATCGCTTCTCGCCTCAAGGATGAAGAAGAAACACAATTACATCCACACAAGAAAATTAGAATCCGAAATCTTTTTTAAACGGTTTCGAATACCAATAATGGACGACTAGAAGATTTCACTCATATTTACAACTCTTCTATCATATGCGTGATAGTAAATATTTTTTTTTTGTTAAAAATCTATCAGCATTTTATTTTGCGTGAGTCAATAAAATATTCATTTGTTATATTTCGAATTTAATTTGCACATAATCTAAGTCAGAAAAACTGAGTACTTGATGCGAGAAATTGGGAATAACTGTTTATTTTCATTTTCCAATTATATTTTGTAAAATTTCATCTGTAACTTATTCTTTTAGCGAAAAATTTACGCACAGTAACGTTGTGTTTCAAAATATAAAGCTTCTACATCATGTCAATATTTGAATAAGGATATGTACATTTGATAAGAAAGAATAAAAGTAGAGTAAATAGCGGCATATATTGAGAACTTTCGTGATGAAAGGGAAAACCTATAGTTAGAGTACAATTGGAGTGTAATGCCGATGTCGTTTTTTGATTATATTTTTGATTAGTGCTCAAACCAATCAAAGATAATCATCATCATCTTTCATATTTTTTTTCTAGAACATCGTTATATTCGGTTTTACCTCATCGTACCATTTGCCAATATTAAGAATTCGTTTTTTTATAAAGAGATAATACATCTGGTAATATCGATGGCAGCAATTCCTGCACAAAGAAGACCAGGAAGCAAGAATCTAGAAACATTTTTTCTGCTGTGGTTGGACGCTGCAGTCAACGAAACCGAAGAGAATATCGAGGCTCAGCAACGTCTTCGTGCATCAGTTAATTGTTTGGAAACGTTCGAAGATGACCAACAATGTGAAGATTACATTAAATCACTTTCTTCTCATGATCGAATTGTTCTTATTGTTAGTGGCCGATTGGGTCAAATAATCGTGCCTCATATTCATCCACTTCGACAGCTCTCTTCTGTTTACGTCTATTGTATGGATGAAAAGATACATGATAAATGGGCAAAAAAATTCAACAAGGTTAGAAAACCTTCTTAGTGGACTATTATCAATAATTTCGAGTGCACGTATAGGCTAGATATAGCTTTCATCAGTGACGGATCAAGGGCTTTTTTGATAGAGGGTGATTCGATAGAAATAGGAAAATGTCGATTAAAAATAAGTTTCGACGTTTATTACAGATAACATAAAATCGACTCTTTTTGTGTTTTCAATAGAGAAAGATCGAAAATTTTCTGTTTGAACGCAGCTGATCGCCTCAAGCCCCCCTTTAAATCTGTTACTAGCTTCTACTTGATGAAATATAAATTTTGAATATCTTTTATAAAAAATAATATTATAAAAAAACAAATGAATTTTAAATAGACAGAGGGAATAATAGTACGAATACGGAAGGATTATATTTTTCTACCACTTTTTAACTTCAGATTTTCTCCATGTTACTCATTCAGGTGAAACTGATTGTAATAATATATAACAGGTCAGAGGTGTGTTTGTACAGTTGGATAACCTTGTTGGTCAGATTCAAACGGATCAAAAGAAACAAAACCATAACGATGTCGATGAAGTACTTCCGTTTAGTACTTTCCATGTGAGCGCTACTCAAGAACAGTCGACTACTGGTATGAATGGTCAATTTGTTCATTCACAATTACTGATCGATTGTTTACTCCGAATGAAATCAACACCATCAATAACGAACGAACTAATTGCTATCTGCACAGAAGAATATAAAGGGAACAAAGCTGAACTAGAAGTTCTTGACGAATTTAAACAGAATTATTCATCTGATCGTGCTGTATGGTGGTATACGAGAGATTCGTTTGTTTATCGATTATTGAACAAAGCACTACGAGTACAAAATATTGATCTACTTTTCCTTTTTCGATTTTTTATTCGTGATCTTGAGCAGCAACTTGAAGAAAATCAATGTACATCTTCCATTTGTGTTTATCGATGTCAATTGATGTCAAATGATGAATTAAAAGTATTGAAAGATTCCATCGGACAACTAATATCTATCAATTCGTTTCTTTCCACGAGTATTCATAAACAACGAGCACTTCAATTTCTTAGTACAACCTCCAATTCAGATAGTGTCGAACGAATCTTATTCAAAATTGAAGCTGATTCTGGTCTATCAGGCGTCAAACCATTTGCAAATATCCGTTCGCTTAGTTATATTCCAGAAGAAGAAGAAGTACTCTTTATGTTGGGCTCAATTTTTCGACTAGTCAATATTAATCAAGACAGCAATCTAATTTGGACAATTGAATTAAAACTATGCAGTGACAATGGTAACGATTTGAAATCAGTTATTGATCAAATGAAGAAAGAGCAGAAAGAAATTGGTTCGGAGACAAATCTACTTTCATTCGGTAATATACTATTAAACATGAATCAATATGATAGTGCTGAGAAGTATTTTCTTCGTTTTCTCAACGAACAGACGAAGAATTATTTAGCGATTGCCCGCTGTTACTATTCACTCGGTAATCTGGCCACAAATACATACAACTTAGATTCTAGTCTAACCTGGCATCATAAATCTCTTGAAATCAAGCAAAAAATTTTGAAATCCGATGATCCTGAATTAGCAGAAAGCTATAGTAGCATTGGTATAATTTATCGAAAGAAACGTGAATTTATAGTAGCACTAAGATGGTTCGAAAAGGCATTACAGATTATCGATAAAGTTTATGGTGTTGAACATCCGGAAGTATCTAAATGTTTGAATAGTATGGGATATGTCCTCGTGCGCATGAAGAGTTATTCGGATGCAAAGAACTATTTTCAAAAAGCGTTAGCCATTAATAAGAAGTATTTTACCGCATATCATCCAGAAATAGGTGTATCACACAGTGCGATGGCTGATGCACAACGAGGTCTGAAAAATTACGAAGAAGCGTTGAAACATGCCGATCTTGCTCTAGAAATTTTCCAGAAATCGTTACCTCCAAAACATTATAAAACTGCATGGGTTATTGAAATTATGGGTGATGTTTATGAAGATAGGAAAGAATTCAATAAAGCGTTGGATTATTATAAGAAAGCTGCTAGTATCTATTGTGAAGTATTAGATCCTAAGCATCATTATGTTACTTCAATTACAGAGTGCATCGAGCGAGTTTCATTACAAATAAAATGAATCAAGCTTTTTTGTGAATTGTAACTTTTCACGACCACATCTGAAGTCGTACTTTAAAAAGATACCATTTACAAATGCCCAGGTCGATCGTTCCGGCCACCGGATATTGCAGGAACCGGCAGGAAATGCGGGAAAAATCACCATATCCTGCAGGAACACACCGGAAATAGCCGGAACATGGAAGCAGCAGTCCGGCCGGAAATTCTCCGGATTTTTTCCGGTGAATTCCGGCCAATTTCCTGTGTTTTCCGGCAGGAACCGAGTCGAAAATCAGCGGAAAAAATTCCAAAAATTTCCGGCCGGAATACTGCTTCCATGTTCCGGCTATTTCCGGTGTTTTCCTGCCGGAACCGGCCGGTACTTTTCGACCTGGGCCCACACTCACACCCACCCACACCCCACACCCACACCCCACACACACCAACACCCACACACCCACACCCTAGCCACAACCACACCCACACCGTAGCCACAACCACACCCACACCCTAGCCATAACCACACCTACACTCGCACCCACATCCACTAACCCACACACCCACATCCCACACCGACACCCACACCCTCAAGGAGTGTTTGGGCATCCTGAGCACTCTCTGACTTCGTTCCCTGATTTGATATCGATGTAACATCAAATTTCAATCTCCTCCTGATGAATGAAGTCATTCTCACACTGTCATTAGTATAATGGTTTACTTTTCACTTATTGAATTCAAGAATAAAACTGTTCACGTTTAGTCCACTCCATTGTAATCTAAATATATTTATTGAAGTCTGTGTAGATTGACTCGTTGCTGAGTTCTTACGACGAGCTCATCATTGTTCCATTGAATGGCATCTGTTGGCGATGGAATGTATTCACATTTTTCTAGTAGTGTTCCATCGTTAGAGATATGAAGGAGCTGCTTCTTGTAGTAGTCCACCACTAACCAATCATCACCATTTATGGAATGGCAACGACCTCCTGTTTCAACTTCAACAGACCAGAGACATTCGAGTGACGTTGATGAACGCAGCTCGAGACAGGTCTTTGAATTTGGTTCCCAGCTACCTCGAATGATAACAAATGAACCATTTTTAAATTTGATGTCTCGAATTGAATTGTCTACATCAGAAGCCGCAGGCAATCGACGTTTTCTGACGAATACAATAGATGGTAGAAGACTATATTCGTGAATAAATGGATTATTCTCATATGTCTTTGTCGATAAAAACAAGGTTATGTCAGAACATGTTCCACGGACCCATTGGCTCTTTGTAGTGACTTCACATGATTGAACACGCATCGTTAGCTCATCGAGCGTAAATATTTCGTTCTGGGTAATCAGAATAAATCGAGCAAGTGTTGAAGACCAGAACATGTCCCAAATGGCGCCATGATTAAAAGATGTCTCTTTCTCGGTTTTCAAATTTCGATTAAGCAAAGAAAGGTTTGTGCTGCGATCTACCAATAGATATTGCTTGTTGCTAGCTAATAGAAAGAAATGAGGCGATATATGTTCGGCCATTTCATGTGGAGATGGAAGTGGAAAGACATTTTGCCTTGATCGTGATAGTGTCACCAAGTTGTCTTCAATGACTAATGGATGTAAGATGAATCGGGCATGTTGAAATTCATTGACATTTTGTTCAATCGATCGAAGAGTATTCCTCAATGAATCGATATTTTCTTGTGAGCCTCCTTTTCTTCGAATCAGTTCTTTCAGTTGATTTCGGCTATCCTCGAGTTTTTGCCGTTCTGTTTCTCTTATATCGTCTATCAACTCGCGGCGTTTTCTGTCGCAGAATGTATCCACTATTCGATGTGCTTCTTTTCTCCATTCTTCAAGCTGCTCTAAACAAGATGGTTTAGTCAAAGAGATAGCGTTCAGTTGTTCCCCCAATTGGTTGATCTCATCAGCAATCAGTGGGAATTGTGCGTTGCGTTTATCCGAGTGTTCTTTGAGATGGTCAATGCAGAGATGGTTTTGACAACAATTGCACAAAGCGAGAGACGAATATTCACATTTGTCAACCGTACACCTGCGAAGCGGTGACGTCATTGTTTGTTGTCAATGTGCGAGAATGATGTGTGATTACCGCGGAATGAAATATTTACATAAGAACTCGAACAGAACGAAAGAAAAAAAAGTAAGGCAAAAATAAACAGACGTCGAGACAAGGACGAAAAGTGAAGTTTTGATTGCAAGGATACCAATAGTTGACTTTGACTGTAATCAGGTTTTTCTCCCTTTGGATAATACGGTTATCAATTGATTTTTGGTAAAGATTTAAAAGCATTCAACAACTGAAACTTTCACTTAAGAATTAAAATTCTCGCGTTCTATCGTTAATTTTTCGATACTACTGCACTTTAGTCAGACCATTAATGTTATATATAAACAGAACGAGAAAAAAAATCGATTGGTTAGCGCATAACCAGCAAATAAAAGGAAGACAATAAAACGTATAGATGTCATCAAAGAACACTATAGATGTTTTATAAAAGATATATCGCTCTATCAATTAAGATTAATTTTTTAATAAAATAATATAACTCTTTGATGTAATAGAAGCAAAATGCATAAAAAAGAGTCGAATATTGATAACGCATAAATTATAATTTCTATCAATAATAAAATAATAAGTGGATTTTTCAAAAGAACTTAAATTTGAGTTAAAAAAGAATAGTTACACTCCTGAACAAAAGTAACTGCCCCACTCCACCCCCCCCCCCCCCCCCCAAACAGATTTTTTTTTTTTTGATATGGGGGGGGTATTTTTTGGGGGGGTTTGAAGGGTGGGGGGGGGGGGGGGGGGGTGGGTGGG